ATGGGGTGGGGGCATTAAGAGGCCTTTGTACCTTCCCGTCTTCTGTACATGCCTCTCTCTTTGCTAGAAAGCCACCCATCCTTTGACTGTCCAGAACCACTGAAATGTCCTTCGCTCTAGGAAGCCTTCCCTCCCTCCACCCCTCCCAGCCCCATCCCTAAGGGGACAAAAAACGCTCCCTCCTCCATCCTTTGCCCTATAGCATTTTGCATAAACCTCACCCTAGGCCTTATCATAGTGCACCGACTTCAGCTGTAGGTCAGCCTCTCCTATGAGCCCCTTAAAGACAGGAGCCTTGGCCTTGGTCATGCCCATTCCCCTGCCCCGCCCTGGCGCCTGTGAAGGCTCTGCCTTATGTAATGAGTGCTCTCCCACAGATTTGCTGATTACCTGCAAGCTCCAGCAGTCACCTGACTTCTCTGGGCCTCAGGTACATCTCTGGGAGAAAAATTTTTTGTCCTGCCTCTGCAGGTCTGGAGTAGACCACAGCTGGAGCAAGGCCAGGGATTGCAGCAATAATAGAGAAACTTAAGGAATCCAGCCCACTCTGTTCTGAGACCTTTCACTCATTTTTCCTCACAGTAATCCCTTGAGGTGTAGGTATTGTTAGTTGTACTCATTTTACACATGTGGAAACTAAGATACAGAGAGGTTAAGTAAATCCCTCAGGGTTACAGGGCTCATATCAGCAAAGCCAGGATTTGGACGCGGCCAGCACTGGCTCCAGAGCCTTTGCTCTTAACTACCGTGCTCTTTGGGAACCTTAAAACCACCCCCAAGGGCTTCCCTTGTGGCGCAGTGGTTGAGAGTCCGCCTGCCGATGCAGGAGACACGGATTCGTGCCCCGGTCCGGGAAGATCCCACATGCCGCGGAGCGGCTGGGCCCGTGAGCCATGGCCGCTGAGCCTGCGCGTCCAGAGCCTGTGCTCCGCAACGGGAGAGGCCACAACAGTGAGAGGCCCACATACCGCAAAAAAAAAAAAAAAAAAAACCACCCCCAAAGGACTTCAGCAAATGCTGTCTCCGTGGCCATATGCTCTGTGTGGCCCAGTTTCAGCCCTAGTACTGGCCACTCCACTTCGTCCTGGTGGCCTGGCTCCTGGTGGGCTGGAGTTTCCTGGGAGCTCGTGGGAGAAGCCTTATAGAAACTGCCCATCTTGGGAACCCTAGCCTGAGTCCTGGGCCTGGGGAGCCTGCCATGGGCTCTTCCCCAGCTGTGTGGTCTTGCCTTGGGGGTTAGGGCACCTCTGGGTGGACCATCCCAGGGGACTCTCGGGCGAGCAGGGAACCTGGAAGCCAGGCATCCATCTGGCCTGGGCTTAGCGTTTGGCCAGATGTTCCTTGGAGCAGGGAGACCTCTCCCCCTGCCCTGTCCTCTGTGCTGGAGGGAAAGGGGGCCCTGGAACCTTAGTAGTGAGTCTGAGGTGTGGGGAGTAGAAGGTGGGAGGGACACTGGTCATGATGACGGAGCCAGAGATCCAGATACTTGGGCTGCTTGTCTCCCTCTCGGGGCTCAGCACATGGATATGGTTTCCTGGAGACATAGGATTAAGAAGGCTGGAGAATTCAGGGTTTAAAGAGGCTCTGGGCAGGGCAGGCAGAGGGCTTAGAAGGGTGATCCTGCGTCATCTTACCCTGATGTTTGCGTCAGATGCTGTTGTCTGTTAGTCACACAGAGCCTTGAATAGGAGCCGCCACATTTCCAGGGCAGGTCTGCAGAGGACGTACCACTGCCGACGGGCACAGCTGGAAGAGGGCACTGCCTTCCCATCCTGGCTCTGCCACTCGCCAGCTGTGTGGCCTAGGGCAGACCACACTTTCTCTCTGGGCCTGAGCTTTAGTTTCTTTAACTGGCCATCAAAGAAATTAGACTCGCTGATCTAGGATGCAGCTGTGCATTGTGGTTGTGAGAGCTTGGATTTTGGAGTCAGACTGCCTGGGTTAAAATTCTGGCTACATTTCCTCTTGGTCCCATGACCTTGAGCAAGTTATCCATTCCAAACTCGGTAATAATCATAGTTCCTATCTCCTCCTGTTATAAAGATTTTAAACCGGACAATACATCCTTTTTGACTCATGGTAACAATGACGTGTCCCTTCCAGTTATAAACTTCAGTAAAGCTTTGTCCTACACAAATAAATAGGAGATACAGAGGAAATCTATGTCAACCAAAAAATTCTCATCCCCCTCGCTTCACCCCCAGTCAAGTTCCCATTTTGGTAGCCTTTTGTTGTTGTTGTTGACATTGTTTAATACAGAAGCAGGGAAGATACTCTAACAGATTTTGTTCGCCCCCTGGTCTGGTCTAAAAGTTCAAATTCTTTCTCCCGCTAATGGTAGACGGGTGATATCCAAGCAATGAGGCCACTTGGGGCATCCCTCAAACCACAGGTGGTGACACGTGCCTGTGGTATTGGAGAAGATGCTGTGAATATACCAGATGGGTTCTTTGAAAGGGTCATTGCTGAAATTACCTCGGAGGTGGAACTTGGATCCTGCCTGGGGGTCCTGCCAGGGACATCCACCTGACTCAGCCCCGGGAGGGAAAGTCTGGTATCAAGTCTCACCTGGCAGGAACTGAGCCCAGAACAGAAAATGCACAAGTGTACCAACCTCCAGTCTCTCCTCAAACGACCTGAGGGGGTGGAAGATTGGATGGCCCAGGCTGGCGGGGCAAGCAGATCCCAGCCTCGTGTCCCGAGAGTGGATTTCCTGTGGAGAGGAAGCTGAGGTTATCCGAGCTCTGATTCACCTTGCCTGCAAGTCTGGGACCATGAGGAACCTTATGGAACCTTTCTCACCAGCTGGGTCTCAGTTTCCCTTGCTGCAATCTTGGTGGAAAATCTCCCTGGACACTCCCACCCCTCAATGTTCCAGAGATCATTTACAGTGAAAGGAAGTAGGGAAATGTCCTTGTAGAGTCAGAGGACTTCCAAAGGGCATGGGGGTTTGTGTGAGGACAGCACTGACTAGTTTCAGATCACCTGGGACATTTGCTGGTCACCTGCAGTGATGACAGTGGCCCCGGCTAGCACTGCTGAGCACGTACTTTGGGCGGACATTCTGCTGTGCTTTCCCTCCACACTAACTCATTTAGTTGTCACCATAAGCCTCCAGGTAAAAGTGGCATCATCCCCTTGGGCTTCCCTGGTGGCGCAGTGGTTGAGAGTCCGCCTGCCGATGCAGGGGACACGGGTTCG